GGTAGGATAAATTCATGTTGGCTTATCCCTCCAAAAATACGGTTTCATGCCCTCTGTGTGTGGCCGCGTACTCCGAGCTATGTATTCCCCTCGTCAGAAACCTAGTATACTTTATAATGTCTGTGAATGATGACTGTCTGTACCTGTGACCAGATGACAACGTTGTGTAATGGGAACGCTATGTATTCCCCTCGTCAGAAACCTAGTATACTTTATAATGTCTGTGAATGATGACTGTCTGTACCTGTGACCAGATGACAACGTTGTGTAATGGGAACGCTATGTATTCCCCTCGTCAGAAACCTAGTATACTTTATAATGTCTGTGAATGATGACTGTCTGTACCTGTGACCAGATGACAACGTTGTGTAATGGGAACGCTATGTATTCCCCTCGTCAGAAACCTAGTATACTTTATAATGTCTGTGAATGATGACTGTCTGTACCTGTGACCAGATGACAACGTTGTGTAATGGGAACGCTATGTATTCCCCTCGTCAGAAACCTAGTATACTTTATAATGTCTGTGAATGATGACTGTCTGTACCTGTGACCAGATGACAACGTTGTGTAATGGGAACGCTATGTATTCCCCTCGTCAGAAACCTAGTATACTTTATAATGTCTGTGAATGATGACTGTCTGTACCTGTGACCAGATGACAACGTTGTGTAATGGGAACGCTATGTATTCCCCTCGTCAGAAACCTAGTATACTTTATAATGTCTGTGAATGATGACTGTCTGTACCTGTGACCAGATGACAACGTTGTGTAATGGGAACGCTATGTATTCCCCTCGTCAGAAACCTAGTATACTTTATAATGTCTGTGAATGATGACTGTCTGTACCTGTGACCAGATGACAACGTTGTGTAATGGGAACGCTATGTATTCCCCTCGTCAGAAACCTAGTTACTTTATAATGTCTGTGAATGATGACTGTCTGTACCTGTGACCAGATGACAACGTTGTGTAATGGGTACATTCTTTTGAGTGTCGTATTATTGTGTCGATGTACCACAATATTCTCCGATTAAAGAGTTGTACCAGCATTTTGAGAAGAATATATATGCAACGCTTACGTCTGTCCTTTAAACAACAGTCGAAATCGAAGTTAACTCTGTGTAATTGTCAGTACCTTGATTTAAACATAATTATTTATTCACAAGGAGTGAACGGGATCGGGGGACAAGTTCTTCCAACTTAGAATGCCCTCTCCCTGGAATTTACAAAAAAATCACAATTTCAAATTCAATATATATGTCGGTACCTTCCTGCTGTAGCAATCGTTCAGTAAATGCCGAGCAATAGATAGCTAAAATGTTAGTTACATGTATATTACATGACACATTTATTTCCAGGTTGGGCATGTTCAAGGTGCACATTTATAAACCCCGCCAGTAACAACCATTGCGAGATGTGTGAAAATGAGCGGACACTGAAAGAATCAGGTTCACCTGATCAAGATGTTCGAACACAACAAGAATATGATAATACTCAGTTAAAAGTGGGCAGTGAACTGATAAACAAATCTGACCCTGAAGAGAGAACACATGACGAGGTACAGAATGAAGACGGCTTGGATAGAACAGGCCATGGAATCTCTGGAAAAGAAAATATATCAAGCGGTGGAAATAGCACGTGTCGTGTGGCTGATCTTAAAGACAATGACATGTCTGTGCCAAATTGTGATCCATCTCATGGCTTGGGGTGTGCCACAAATGGTGATCTGTTAGCAGATGGTAATACTTATCGCTCTACGCAGAGTCACCTAGAAAATGGTGGTAAGTACAATGTCATACAATGTTACTGTTTAATATTTATGGAAGAACGGTCTGGGATGCACTGGTCGTTGATTTGAAGCTAAGAATCGGCTGGATTACGACCCTTGGTCTGTCAGAATGGACGAGGTTTCACTGAAGCTGTAAACGTCTGAGGCATGTATCAGTGAGTGAGTATGGTTTTACGCCGCTTTTAGCAATATTCCAGCAATATCACGGCGGGGGACACCGGACATGGGCTTCACACATTGTACCCATGTCGGGAATCGAACTCGGGTCTACGGCGTGACGAGCGAACGCTTTAACCACAAGGCTACCCGACCGCCCCCTAGAGCATGTATCCAGGGAAAGGAGTACTTGAGCGTCGGTTGGAAAATCAGATCAAGACCAATTTTGGAATGCAAGTGATTTGGGGAGACATGTTCCAGAATGCCTCAAGAAAAGCCTCGGGTAGAGTATACATCTTCGTTTGTAGAAAATCAGAGCTTAGTGTTCGAAATAAGCTCAAGACCACAAATCCATGTCTGCATTTGGCATGTTCTTTCATATTCCTTTGGCGAGTTTCATAAAACAAGTCTTGGCCACCTCACAAGAAGCAGCATGTCTGATAATAGACTTCGCCACCCTCGTTCCTGTCGCTGTCGTTTGTCTCTGTGCCATCTGTTGGTATTGGAGCTTCGACTGATCCTCATCATTATCCTCTCAGTTTCTTAATTTACCACGTGTGTCCTATTGTTAAAAGATAGAAATCTCCAGCTTATCTGCTACTTTTTCTATACGTTCTTAAAAAAATCACATTATCGCTGCGCTTGCATCAATTCCGGCTTTACTCCCACATCAAGGTGCCACGTCGTGCTGTAACTGGAATATTGGTGCGTTAAACAAAACTGACTCACTCATTCAATCACTGACTCACTTTGACGATCTGACGACCTTGACCTTCATTCCTGCTCCTGTAAGGGCAGCTGCAAGGCATGATTATCATGCGGCTTTCCAAGTACCTGATGTCATGATTGTTTTCAGTGATATCACAGTGTGGTAAAGTGCATGTTTCAGGTCAAATAGCGACAATGATATGTTATCAATTGACGTGTACATATATCAGATAGCCCTGTAGAAGGATAGAGCATGTTCCCGGAGAGCGGAAGGATGGTGGTTGAAACCTCTGGCTGCGTCATACCTCAAATATGGTACTTGTTAGCCTCCCTAGCTCTCGGCATTAGGGGATAAGACAAGGACTTGTAGGTACTGACTCTACTGTGTCTGAGTGGAGTATCCATGACAAACTGCAGTATGTTATCTCAGTGGGACAGTCGGCATAAGGCTTGACTAGTACAAGCAACCACGCACACGCACACGCATACGCATACGCACACGCACACACACACACCCGCGCGCGCGCACGCACGCACACACACACACACACACACATATATATCGCTATATAAGTGCAACAATCCTGAATAAGACGTTACACCTCATTGCACCTTACCTGACCTCACCCCTCTGATAGGAACCATATATACAATATTAGTTACAACTAACATGGACTCATACGCATCGGACAGAAATGCTGAATCTGCAACTGACATTATGTCATAAAAGCAATCTGGAATAGGCATGTAAGTAAGTAGAACATTTTAAATACATAGCTTACCAACTGTATTACAAGGTTGTGTCATATTATTTTTCCGATATTCGCATTTTAACATTTTCGATCACCGGCCGTGTCTTGCAAAATGACATAAAAAGACTTGGACTTGTTGTTATCCATTAAAGGGATAAGCCAAGGACTGGTCGGCTCGGAGTCAGTATACTGTGTCTCACGGGGTAATCATGTTAAACTACGGTATGGTATCTCAGTGTGCTGGCACCATAAAATCATATAGTACAAGTACACACACACACACACACACACACACACACACACACACAGTCACACACACACACACACACACACACACACACACACACACACACACACGGTCACACACACACACACACACGTGTGCAATAATCTTGAACGGGACGTTAAATCTTCATTCACCATCACCCCTGAATGACAAACATTGTAACCATCTTAAGGTTTAGAGACAGGAATTCACGTAATTAGAAACGAGTCCTTAATAATGTAAATATAAAACTATAACACGGCTAGTTTTTGTTGCGATGTGGGCAGTTGTAACTTGTGCAAATAAAAACGAAGGTATGATGGGTGTTTGTTTTTAGGAATATATTTCCAGACGTGTAAAACCCACGCTCTAAAATAGTACACACTGGTTCGGGCTATGGGATATATTTCAATCAAATTACGGTCAGATTATCGCTATTGTGAGTTTTGGATATTTATTCGATGACGTAGGTATTACATGACTACAAAAGTACTTCGAGTAGAATCTGGTTAGTCAACGGGAGAAGACTTCAGAACACACTGTATGCCCAGAGCTATATATAGTCTCGGAATGAAATGTATGCCCTGGGGTCTGCAAGAGAGATTTGCTGTTCCCTGCATCGTTTATAAACGCGACAGTCCAGTCGACTGCAACGCCAACCAGACAATGCGTTATAACGAGAGTTCCTCCTTATAAGAAGACGACCCACAATGTGAAAGAAACTGAGCTGACTGTTGCGTGGAAAATGGGTAACGTTTTGTCATATTTGTATTAAGGCTTTGCATTGTGGATGGCATAATTAGGCATAGCTTCTTGTTGAATCGACAGTGAGACTTGTTTTGCGAAACATGGACTAGCATACTCGTACTTAAGGAGTAGGTTTATGAGTCTGTTGTTGACGATACTCAAGTCTTACGTCAGGAAAACGGTGCTGTTATTATTTGCATGAATCTGTTACATGTTGCAGCTGACTTGCGCTTTGGATACATATCTGCGTTCCCCACATGCAGGCCTCATGCAAGTACTACATTAATGCCATCTAAAAATCCCGTGCCAACAGCGCCGACTGTCTGAATGACACAACACCCTCAACGAAGACGTATCACATGCTTACCAGTATTTATATAAATGCTAAAAGCGGCGTAAAACCATACTCACTCACTCTGAGTGTCAATTGTGAGCTATTACATTTTATATGACCAATACGAATATGCGAACCTTTTTCAAAAGCTCGCTAAGGTTTGGCTTAATGTTGCTCTGTAAGGAGTCAAACACAACTCACTATGTTGATAACTGCATAGCGATCGATATATTGAATAACACGTATTCAGAAACACACAATTTATTAACGAAAAACTTACAAGCCAGGAAAAAGCGTTCATGAATTTTCAAAATTCAAATATTAAATTATTTCTCATAATTGTCACAATACGAATAATCTGAAGATATGCAAATATTGTTGATAGCGTACATCATAATTTTGAAATTATAAATTCAACGGGTAAATAGAATATCGTATATTTTTTTACTTTCTGTTATTGATTTGTGATGTCAGTCATTCTTTGCAAAGTGTAGTAATAATCATAAATTCAACGGGTAAATAGAATATCGTATATTTTTTTACTTTCTGTTATTGATTTGTGATGTCAGTCATTCTTTGCAAAGTGTAGTAATAATCAAGTACATACAATCAAGTGATACATTCATGAACATAATCTACATTTATATTGTTTGCAATTGTGACAAAATATTTAAAGAAATACATATGTTAGAAAGGCTTCTATAGCTGGTGATATACCTAGGTAACACAGACAAAAATAAAATATAAATTCACTGTAAGCGGAGGGAAAGGTGCTTCTATGGCTGTTCCTTTCTATTCAATTCGCCTATCACCAGTGCTAAATCTTAATGTCGCTCAGTGTTTTGTGTTATATATTAAATGAAACTTGATATCATTGAAAATTTCCATACTATTTTTCTGGATTCAGTGGCATATGAATATCACTGAATTCCCGACTTGCTAGCCATCTAATGTTTCTTCTTCGTGTCGCCACCAGCATGCTTTCCCTTGTTGTCACCGGTCGGTGGTCTTATTTTGTCAGAAATCTTCTGAAACTTAGCCCCGATCATATTTTCCAAGCCACCAGCCAAAGCAGAGCCTACTGCAATCATAACGGTCTTCAACACAGTGTCCCCTAAGAATGTCAGAACAGACATGACCATCTCTTGTCCTCTGTTGACCTCCTGCTGTGCCTGCTCCCTGTAGTTTGGAACAGTGGATTCAGAAAACTTCTTTCTTTCGTCAGCTTCTTTTGCTGCTTGAGCTCTTTGTGCTGCAGCTTCTCTCCTGGCATCTTCCAGCAACTCCTTCACTCTCCTCAGCTCATCCTGGAGTTCCTTCACCACAGGTGTCGTGTTGGCTTCTTTGGATTTTGTAGTTTCAATTCGGGCAACTTCGTCCTGGAGAGACTTAATGATTTCATCCTGGTTCTTCTCCATCTTTTGCATCTTTTCCTTGCATTCTCTTTCTATCTGTCTTCTCTCCTTATCAACGTCTTCGTCATGCTCCTTCATAAGTTGTTGCTCTCTTATCTTCATAGCACGTTCAGCTTCCTCGTACATGTCGTTGGTGTACAATGTGTTGCCGTTTTCTTGGACAGTTCTTTCAATCAGATTAAGGAAGTCCTGCACATCCCGATTCTTCTCTACCTCGGAACCTCTATTATTGAAGGCAACGTAGCGATCATTACAGGATTCGAGCAGCCTCCTAAGCCTCTCCGGGGAATGCTGTATGTAATCTTCGATAGATTTATTCTCCGCATTAAGGTCGTCCTTTCTAGTGAACAGCACTACAAGGTATCTGAGGAAATCGTCTCCAAAGACTTTTCTGTAATGTTCTACTGTGTCCTGTTCCTCCTGTGTGAAGCGGTCGATCCGTAGAACCAATACAAAGGCATGAGGACCTGGGGCTGTCATGGCAATGCATTTAACTATTTCTTTAGTTATTTCTTCATTGGACAATCCGGTATCAAATAATCCTGGACTGTCAATGATCTCGACACTGACACCATTTCTGATACCTGTTCCTCTTTGACACTGTTTGGTCACTGATAGTCCACTTGTACTTGAATAAAACGCATCTTGTTGTAGAATGTTGTTTCCCGATGCGCTCTTACCAGCTCCGGTTCTTCCCAGAAACACAACTCGCCTGACCATAATTAAATAGCCGTAATCAATAATGGGTAAGCAGCTCGATATTGTCGTGGCCACTGATGCAAAATCAGGACTGTGATCTGAAGGTATACAAGAAATAAGATATACTACAAAAGAGCTGACCCGTGAAGGTCCGGGTTAGAATAGGTCTTCAGCCAACGTTCTTAAATAAACCCACATTGAAACATCTGACGCCACAACTAAAATCCTGTGAAAACATAATCAATATTTTCCTTGATCAAAGAATTCAGAATGAAACGAATGCTTTGACATGAGGTTGTGTTAAGTTAAAACTCTCAATACTAAACAGCAGATGATGATTTACCTGAAGCCGAGAGAACATGCAGTACCTACCGGAGACCATGCATCAGCTCTGCGTTGTACACACCATGACAGCAAGGCTATTTCTGTCCCTATCTGGGCTGCCCCAGCGAGTTATTCTTGGACCTGCGGAGGTCGGACTCGAGTATCTGAGTCGTGGCCAGTGAGTCCTTTTAAACACATTAAAACAAGCATTCTCAGTGGCTGTTCTTCGTTCTGCTTTTAACTAATTAACACATAAACGCGTTATTTTATTACTTTGTACCCATCATTTCGTCAAACGCTTAAATTAGTATTGATACAAGTCCACTACGAGTTTTGCCACTGGTGACGCGAGAGTGTGCAACCGGTGGTGTGTGAGTGTTACTACTGGTGGTGTGTGGGTGTTCCTACTAGTGGTGTGTGAGTGTTACTACTGGTGGTGTGGGTGTTACTACTGGTGGTGTGTGAGTGTTACTACTGGTGGTGTGGGTGTTACTACTGGTGGTGTGGGTGTTCCTACTAGTGGTGTGTGAGTGTTACTACTGGTGGTGTGGGTGTTACTACTGGTGGTGTGTGGGTGTTACTACTGGTGGTGTGGGTGTTCCTACTAGTGGTGTGTGAGTGTTACTACTGGTGGTGTGGGTGTTACTACTAGTGGTGTGTGAGTGTTACTACTAGTGTGTGAGTGTTACTACTGGTGGTGTGTGAGTGTTACTACTGGTGGTGTGTGAGTGTTACTACTAGTGGTGTGTGAGTGTTACTACTGGTGATGTGGGTGTTACTACTGGTGGTGTGTGAGTGTTACTACTAGTGGTGTGTGAGTGTTACTACTGGTGGTATGTGGGTGTTACTACTAGTGGTGTGTGAGTGTTACTACTGGTGATGTGGGTGTTACTACTGGTGGTGTGTGAGTGTTACTACTAGTGGTGTGTGAGTGTTACTACTGGTGGTGTGGGTGTTACTACTAGTGGTATGTGGGTGTTACTACTAGTGGTATGTGGGTGTTACTACTAGTGGTGTGGGTGTTACTACTGGTGATGTGTGAGTGTTACTACTAGTGGTGTGTGAGTGTTACTACTGGTGGTGTGGGTGTTACTACAGGTGGTGTGTGGGTGTTACTACTAGTGGTGTGTGAGTGTTACTACTGGTGGTGTGGGTGTTACTACTGGTGATGTGTGAGTGTTACTACTGGTGGTGTGTGAGTGTTACTACTGGTGGTGTGGGTGTTACTACTGGTGGTGTGTGGGTGTTACTACTAGTGGTGTGTGAGTGTTACTACTGGTGGTGTGGGTGTTACTACTAGTGGTGTGTGAGTGTTACTACTGGTGGTGTGGGTGTTACTACTTGTGGTGTGAGTGTTACTACAGGTGGTGTGTGAGTGTGGGTGTTACTACTGGTGGTGTGTGAGTGTTACTACTGGTGGTATGTGAGTGTGGGTGTAACTACTGGTGGTGTGGGTGTTACTACTGGTGGTGTGAGTGTTACTTCAGGTGGTGTGTGGGTGTTACAACTAGTGGTGTTTGTGTTCCTACTGGTGGTGTGTGGGTGTTACCACTGGTGGTGTTTGAGTGGTACTACTGGTGGTGTGTGGGTGTTACTACTGGTGGTGTGGGTGTTACTACTGGTGGTGTTTGTGTTCCTACTGGTGGTGTGTGAGTGTTACTACTGGTGGTGTGGGTGTTACTACTGGTGGTGTGTGGGTGTTACTACTGGTGGTGTGTGAGTGTTACTACTGGTGGTATGTGAGTGTGGGTGTAACTACTGGTGGTGTGGGTGTTACTACTGGTGGTGTGAGTGTTACTTCAGGTGGTGTGTGGGTGTTACAACTAGTGGTGTTTGTGTTCCTACTGGTGGTGTGTGGGTGTTACCACTGGTGGTGTTTGAGTGGTACTACTGGTGGTGTGTGGGTGTTACTACTGGTGGTGTGGGTGTTACTACTGGTGGTGTTTGTGTTCCTACTGGTGGTGTGTGAGTGTTACTACTGGTGGTGTGGGTGTTACTACTACAGGTGTTTGTGTTACTACTGGTGGTGTGTGGGTGTTACTACTGGTGGTGTGTGATTGTTACTACTAGTGTTGTTTGTGTTACTACTGGTGGTGAGTGGGTGTTACTACTGGTGGTGTGTGGGTGTTACTACTGGTGGTGTGTGGGTGTTACTACTGGTGGTGTGTGGGTGTTACTACTGGTGGTATGGATGTTACTACTAGCGGTGTGTGGTTGTTACTACTAGTACTGGTGGTGTGGGTGTTCCTACTGGTGGTGTGTGGGTGTTACTACTGGTGGTGTGTGGGTGTTACTACTGGTGGTGAGTGGGTGTTACTACTAGTGGTGTGTGAGTGTTACTACTAGTGGTGTGTGAGTGTTACTACTAGTACTGGTGGTGTGGGTGTTACTACTAGTGGTGTGTGAGTGTTACTACTAGTACTAGTGGTGTGTGAGTGTTACTACTAGTGGTGTGTGAGTGTTACTACTAGTGGTGTGTGAGTGTTACTACTGGTGGTATGGATGTTACTACTAGCGGTGTGTGGTTGTTACTACTAGTGGTGTGGATGTTACTACTGGTGGTGTGTGAGTGTTACTACTGGTGGTGTGTGGGTGTTACTACTAGTGGTATGTGGGTGTTACTACTAGTGGTGTGTGTGTGTTACTACTAGTGGTGTGTGGGTGTTACTACTGGTGGTGTGCGTGTTACTTCTGGTGGTGTGTGGGTGTTACTACTGGTGGTGTGTGAGTGTTGCTACTGGTGGTGTGTGGATGTTACTACTGGTGGTGTGTGAGTGTTACTACTAGTACTGGTGGTGTGGCTGTTGCTACTAGTGGTGTGTGAGTGTTACTACTGGTGGTGTGTGGGTGTTGCTACTAGTGGTATGTGGGTGTTACTACTAGTGGTGTGTGGGTGTTACTACTAGTGGTGTGTGAGTGTTACTACTAGTGGTGTGTGAGTGTTACTACTAGTGGTGTGTGAGTGTTACTACTAGTGGTGTGTGAGTGTTACTACTAGTGGTGTGTGAGTGTTACTACTATAACTGGTGGTGTGGGTATTGCTACTAGTGGTGTGTGAGTGTTACTACTGGTGGTGTGTGGGTGTTACTACTAGTGGTATGTGGGTGTTACTACTAGTGGTGTGTGGGTGTTACTACTGGTGGTGTGTGAGTGTTACTACTAGTGGTGTGTGAGTGTTACTACTAGTGGTGTGTGAGTGTTACTACTAGTGGTGTGTGAGTGTTACTACTAGTACTGGTGGTGTGGGTGTTCCTACTAGTGGTGTGTGAGTGTTACTACTGGTGGTGTGTGGGTGTTACTACTAGTGGTATGAGGGTGTTACTACTAGTGGTTTGTGAGTGTTACTACTAGTGGTGTGTGAGTGTTACTACTAGTTGTGTGTGAGTGTTACTACTAGTGGTGTGTGAGTGTTACTACTAGTACTGGTGGTGTGGATGTTGCTACTAGTGGTGTGTGAGTGTTACTACTGGTGGTGTGTGGGTGTTACTACTAGTGGTATGTGGGTGTTACTACTAGTGGTGTGTGGGTGTTACTACTAGTGGTGTGTGAGTGTTACTACTAGTGGTGTGTGAGTGTTACTACTAGTGGTGTGTGAGTGTTACTACTAGTGGTGTGTGAGTGTTACTACTAGTACTGGTGGTGTGGGTGTTGTTACTAGTGGTGTGTGAGTGTTACTACTAGTGGTATGTGGGTGTTACTACTAGTACTGGTGGTGTGGGTGTTGCTACTAGTGATGTGTGAGTGTTACTACTGGTGGTGTGTGGGTGTTACTACTAGTGGTATGTGGGTGTTACTACTAGTGGTGTGTGTGTGTTACTACTAGTGGTGTGTGGGTGTTACTACTGGTGGTGTGTGGGTGTTACTACTAGTGGTGTGTGAGTGTTACTACTAGCGGTGTGTGAGTGTTACTACTAGTACTGGTGGTGTGGGTGTTGCTACTAGTGGTGTGTGAGTGTTACTACTGGTGGTGTGTGGGTGTTACTACTAGTGGTATGTGGGTGTTACTACTAGTGGTGTGGGTGTTACTACTGGAGGTGTGTGGGTGTTACTACTGGTGATGTGTGAGTGTTACAACTAGTGGTGTGTGAGTGTTACTACTGGTGGTGTGTGGGTGTTACTACTAGTGGCATGTGAGTGTTACTACTGGTGGTGTGTGGGTGTTACTACTGGTGGTGTTGGTGTTGCTACTAGTGGTGTGTGAGTGTTACTGCTGGTGGTGTGTGGGTGTTACTACTGGTGATGTGTGAGTGTTACTACTAGTGGTATGTGGGTGTTACTACTAGTACTGGTGGTGTGGGTGTTGCTGCTAGTGGTGTGTGGGTGTTACTACTGGTGGTGTGTGGGTGTTACTACTAGTGGCATGTGAGTGTTACTACTGGTGGTGTGTGGGTGTTACTACTGGTGGTGTGTGAGTGTTACTACTAGCGGTGTGTGGGTGTTACTACTAGTGGTGTGTGAGTGTTACTACTGGTGGTGTGTGGGTGTTACTACTGGTGGTGTGTGAGTGTTACTACATGTGTTTAAAATCAATCTACATTTTTAGAATCCTCATATCCAACATCTTGTTATAAATGAAAAGGCATATATTGCACAAAAAAACATACGACCATCGCCCTTGATAAAATATACCAATAAATATTCCTTTTGAAAGCAAATCAATCATATCGTATGTTGAATGCAAACAAGATCGTCATTGTTGTGGAAACATAGAGGGGAAGGCAAAGCTCGCAGGATGACACACGACATGCATATTCTACTGTGATTAAACCGTATTGCTGGTAGGCTAGACTAAAATCTAGTCTCTGAAATGAATATATCGTACATAAAAAAACAGTTGTTCAGTTATCTTAATAAAAATATAATAAAAAGGAGCCCAGTGACTCTCTTCATTTTCACTGATACTGCAGTGATCTAGACTTGCCAAACATTATAGACTTGCATGGGCTGTATTTGATATATATTTGTATCAGGGTCTGTAAGACAGACTACTGGTAGGCAGATGTAAGAGTTAGCACTGGAGCTAACTAATGACTAACACAAGGCGTAACTAATGGCCGATATCAGTTACATGAATTTTAACATCGGAAAACAAACTTTCACAATTTTCAAATGACTCAGAGACAGTGTCAACGAATTATATCTGCCTTTTTCTGAGAGTCATGTTTAGTCGCGTGATTTGTGAGTA